GGCTGCGGCTCGCACAGCGGCATTGTGGGTCCTTCATTTCTCAAGTCTCTCGCACCCATATGCTTAGTCATGATAAGCTCCGCGATAAAATCACGACGAGCCATCCATCCATCCGTACACTGTCGGTAGTACGCTGTGCCTGCCCCTCTGCCCTGAGGTGGGGAAGGGGGGGGGGGGGGGTTTAGAAGGTTTAGCCCTCCCTTGCCTCGTGCTATCCACGTTATAGAAAATGCATTGCAACATATTTTTGCTAGAGGAGGAAGAAGTGGAAGTAGTATGATAACATTCAGAGGCTTCATCTTGAGAAGAGGGACTAGTGTTTTCTGTGCACTGGGGAGTGTGCTGAGAAGTCGTGTGTGTGGTTATGTTGTGGGATGATACCAGCAATCTGAAAAGCCTGACACTGTAGATGCATCCCTGACTTGAGTTTTATAGTGAGCTGGTGTAATATACCGAGCTTCTGTTATCAAGTGTTGAGATAAGACTTGTTGCATGTATCAAGCTTTTCATTAGCATCCTAGGTAAAGTGACTTTTGTCTCCTTTTGAGCTCATTGGGTATTTCTTAAATTGTAATTAAACATCACATATGAAGTCCTGCATACCAGTATACAAGAGTTAAAATGTCATTTGCATTGATGGAAAAGGTATGCTAAATTTTTGGAGTACTGACTTAATCTGGCTCTTCTAATAGGACTTTTTATACTGTTAAAGAATTTTATTAATATTATCTTACACAAATCTACTAGCTCTTATTTCTAATAGAGCTAGTGCTGGTTGCAAGTTTCCTTGTCTCCAGTATATCCCAATAGACTGAATTTGGTAACATCCTTGGAACAAAGGCAAGCTGAAGTGGACTAGCTAAATAAATCAAAAGGTATAATCAAGAGGTCTCTTGCAAGATTCCTTCCTGAATGGCTTAAGCAAGTACTCTTATTGGGGGTAGCGCTGCATTTTAATCTCATTGGCTGTCACTTTTAATATTATCCAAGCTACTTTAACCATAAAATATACTCCGTCAATCTCAAATGGTCTGTATTTAATTGCTCTTGTGAATGTGTGATATACTTAGACTTTTTTGAGTGTTACACTGTCACTGTGTACAGTTAACCAAGGAGAAGATATTTGACAAGTGTTTCATGCACATGTACTCGTCTCCTAACGTTTTTTCCATGCTGAAAGTAGTCAGTGTGTCTCCTAGAATGTGTTTATGAGACTTCTTTGTGAAGTCTTGTTTACCAAGATCATCTGTTTCAAATAGCTGCTCAACTTAACGTGCTTTTGTGCTGCCTGTAAGGATAAGAAAGAGTTGAAGTGGTTTTTTAAGTTTACTTGATCTATCTTAGTCCTTTCTTTTCATGATTTCACTCCTGTTTCCTGATAAACCAATGCATTCTAGACTACCAGGAGAACTTTCTTGTAGCAAAATACAATTGCAGAACTGACAGCCTGGGTTAGTTTGACAGATCTGCTTGTATCTTTCTCACTGATCGCTGCTTTGAGCAAGATCAGCAGGATGATAGTAGTTAACATCTGAAAGCCTAAGCAGTCAGGAGGTTTGGCCGCAAGGTTCTCTGTAGTTTGCACCTCTTTCCTCATGTGGAATTAATCTTTTTGAATACATTTTAGTTAGGTCTGCTAGGTGTTATCTTAAAATCATTGATTATCTTCCTTTAGAAGGAAAAGAGAAACTTACACCCATGTAAAAGTGCTTCCTGATACTGGTTCTGAAGGAATTTCAGACTAGTATGAATAACTTCTTAATCTGAATATTTTTATCGCTGAGCACAAGTATTTATTTAATCTTATAATAAGAACCTTAGACTCATTGATTGTGTCATACAGAATATAGATAGAAGATACTTTTCTCTTTTTCTTCCTCAGAATTTGTATATCTGTTTTTCCTGGTTGGGAGTGTAGTCAAACCTGTAAGGTATACCTTTGGCTTTCTTTGCCACCCAAATGTAAGGTCTGGTAGGAACAGTGGGTCTTAACAACATGGGCTGTTCACTAGAAAAACTCTACTGGTTTTGAAGGGTTAGAACTGATATGATGCAACCAACATAAAACTCAGCAGATAATAGGTACCTGGATGCTGATTAAGGTACTCTTGATGCAAATAGCTAGTGCAAGATAGAAAGCATTACTGTTGCATTCCTATGCCTTGTTCATTATGAAAGCTCAGAAAGAGCCTCCAATCTAAACAGAAAACATACCACCAGGGAATACATGTGCAGTAATACATTTAGGGGTTGCATACAACTTCTTTAATTTGTGTTTAGATGGGAGAGAAAATCATTCTGAGATGCTGCAGGTGACCTTCCGATTAAGGGCTGCATCACTTAAATGTGGATGTGGCTTACGTGACAAGGCTCTTGTTCCACCTGGCTAGTGCTACCATTAGCTGCTGCATTGCAGAATGGGTAGCATAGCAGAATGCAATTGAGCTGCAGGATTTTGGGCTTCTGCTTAAATAAAGGGTGGATGTCTTGGTGTAAGGGTTTAAGATGAGATTACATTGCATGCTGTGTGTTCTACCTCGTGTGTGCGAAGCTAGATCTGGTAGCCATTGCTTCCCGTTTTTTTGCACAAAATATCTTGGGATGCCATCTTTCTGCAATTTCTTCAAATGAGTAGTGATTTGAATCCAGCTGGAATTTCATGGGATATTTGCCTTCTAGGTCTAGTGAGATTGATTTTTTTTTATTGATATAAGTAAAATGACAATGCATTGTAGAAGTAAGGTATATGTCAGGTAAACATAAAGAAAAGATTGTAAGAATTTCATGCTTGTGGACTAGAACACTGGGAAAGACTTTCTGTATTAAGCTGTAGATGAGTTTTAAGAGTTCTAGTTCTCTGAACTGAAGAAGTTTAGTATACTAATGGTTTTGCTGTATTATTAGGTCTTGGATTTGAACACATTTTATTGTCTAAGTAAATTGCATCAAATATCAAATAAAAAGATTTGCAGGATTTGTTCTCATTTTTCTTCTGTATCAATAAATAGCAAATTTGGCAGGTGAGAGGCAACAGTCCTTCCCTTAGCCATATTCCAGGCATCTTTGTGCTGCATGGTCAGGGTTTCAGGATTACTGTTTGCAGCCCACTGAAGAGAAGGGTGGTTAACAGCATTGATACTGGTTTTTTTCCTTACTTGCCTTGTGTTCTTGCCTGTAAAAGAAACATTCTTCTAAGACTGTGCTTGAAGACACCTTCCTTTCCTTATTTAGTGTCTCTTGTATTTTAAGACCAGAAAAAGGACAGGTTACTGTGACTTTTCCTCAAGTTAGTGAAACCAGTCAAATGTCTAGGCCTTGCTGATTGTTACTGTTATTGCAAGCTCAGCTCCATTCTTCCTTTGCAGAATCTTGCCTGCTCATTATATCTGTTTGGAGTAACAATTATGCTGTGATTTGTCCCTGTGAAGTCTCTGGCGTATGTGGTCGTTAAAATAACAGTGCATATTTCTGTGCTCAAGTATTAGGAAAGGAAAAGCTGGGGAGATAATGAACAATGTGAAAACATTGAGAATTTAGATGCATGCAATTACTGTGGCTTGTGCATGTGGAGCAGAAGTGAGAGTAAGCTATAAAAGGCCTTCTGTGCTCTTATAGAAGGCCTGCTGAATTACTTACAGAACTTTGATTCTTCAGTTTAGCATCAATGTGTATATTTGGCTGTAAATTAGTGCAAAGAAGAAATGGGTAGAAAACTGCTGTAACGAACTAGAGGGGACTGTAGAACTTCTCACGTAGATACAAGGCTAGTAAATACAAATAGGCTCACTTGATCTCTATTGGACTACCATTTCTGTGTTTCATCTCAGATATAAACCTAAAACTGCTTTTTTTTGAAGTGTTGAGCTATAGCTTTCAGATGATGATTAGTTAAATAATGTGGAGACTTCCACTGAGTCAGTGAGGACATTGAGACTACAGCATGCACAAGTGGGGTTTAATTCTGCATAGTAGTTGACAGAAGGTTTCTGTACATGAAGCTGTATAGATTTTTAAATCAGGCTTGTTCTGTTCTCTCTATAAAAAAATGACTGTATTTGTTGAAAGAACTTGTAGGAAGACAGTTTAATTTTTCAGTAGCAAAAGAATGTGGTGAACCTTTACCTCTGATATTAGGGAAAAGCTAATTATTGCTAGAGAATGCTAGTGGCTCAGTGAAAACAGAATGTGATTGTCCAACTATGCGTTAAATATACTCCATTGTATTTGGACTTTCACAAGCCAAAAGTGGACACTTAATTTAGCTTGTTGAAAACCATGGTCTTCAATTAAAACACTGGTAAGTAATTTTATGAAACTTGTGGGGCAAATTGATCCCTCAGGTCATCTTTACTAACTTAGTATAATTGGGATTCCAATTATTTTGATAAGTTCTTTATAGATTACATTGTCTTGCTTGAAACAATCACTCTTCAGGAATGTGGAATTAAACAACCTGTTTGTTTTTATAGTTTGGCTGTGAATACTGATCATGGGGATATCTTACTGGATTATTCAAAGAACCTTGTTACAGAAGAAGTGATGAAAATGCTGATGGAACTGGTAACTCTTTAAAATGTTGAATTAAACCAGATAGGGTTTTTTAAAAAGTTAACTTTTACCTGCAACTGATTATTCTAGCCTTGCTTATATACATTTAGCTCTGAGCTTGAGAGACTGTCAGAGTTAAAAGGCATCAGCTTGCAGATCTTGGTACTGTTCAAAGTTTTTCATTGTCCTTTAGCCCCAAGGTACAGGGCCATTTTTCAGTTTCTGTTTTTTGTGCTCACTGAAAAGATTTTTTTTGTCTGTGTAGTAGAGCAGGTGGCATATGGCATCTGCAGTAAAATAAGAGATTCATACAAAGTTGTAAGAGAAGATCATGTCTTCTGTACCTGCAATTGAAACAGTACTTCATGTGTCATGCAGTCTTAGTTTTGAGATTTGTTTGCAGTTAGATGTATTTTAAGAAGTTTGTGTCATTAACTTCAATTTAGGATGGTTTCCATATTTATAACCCTTCCTTAACTATTGGTTTGGCTTAGACCAGATAGGACACAGTGTTTTTGTTTTTTTTTTAAAAAGGGAAGAACTAGCAAAAAATAGCCATAGCAAAATTACTTTTGCTCTTCAGTTTAAAAAAAAAAGAAATTCTAAGCTGGTACAAAGAATCATTAACGAATCCTGTAGCAGTATGACAAGATGTAACTGAGTAATTAAGAATTCAGCACATGTTACTGTGTATCCTCTTGAGGAAATAAACAGCCTGCATAAAAATACTTGCTTTAAGAGAATCAATTTTTAAGCTAGAATCTAGTGGGTCTTTTAATCTAATATCATATTTTTTGTTGCACTGTCCTATGTGGTAAATGTTCACACTCTTTAACGTAGCTGGACCTTAGTAGTGCATATTGACTTTCTGCTATTTTTAAGAGGAATCTATTTTTACATTTCTCAGGCAAAGTCAAGGGGTGTGGAAGGTGCCAGAGAGCGCATGTTCAGTGGAGAGAAGATCAACTTCACTGAGGTAAGGCTATTTCTGTCCATGGTTCTTTCCCCTCAGTTGTGCCTACATATTATGGATGTTCATGTATCTGTATAAGAGAAGTCTTGGAGAAACTTACTGTAATTGCTACTTTGAAATGTGGAGTGGTTGTACTGTTTGCTGCACTACTTGTGAGAAATTCTTACAGCACTGACAAAGAAGAAAATGTGTGTGCATAAATGTATTCAATCTTCCCTACAACATACATCTTCATTTTTTTAGAGATTTTGGTGGGTTTTTTCTTATCTTCTCTTCCCTCCTCTTGTAGAGAGGAAGATGAGTTAGATCTTGCAAAGGGCATGGAGCAGAGTATTGCATTCCAGGTATTCCTTACATGCTTTTGCCTAATGTCAGTGCTCATAAAGCTTAGTAAACTGCCTACAAAGTTTTAGTGAGGATTGTGTAAGACTTTCTCCTTTGGGTTGTTGATGCTGCTTATTTTTCGGTATGTTTAAGGATAGAGACTATAAACAGTCTTCAGAAATTAGCCAGCTGTTTCAGTAAGAGGATGAGTATCTTCCTTTTTGTAGATCTGAAGGTTGTAATTATTGTTAAATCTTCACTAAAACATACAGAAAACTAACTGTACCTTTTTTCTGACATTAAAAATAGGATGAAAACTGGAAACTTAACAGTATGGTCTAGTGTGACTTATTAGTCTGCCTTAAATATTTAGGCTGTTTAGTATGTTTGAGGTAAACTCACAGAAATCAGTATTTTCTTCGACTTGGTTATTGACTGATTTAGCTGTTGCACAAGCTGTTTGCTTAAAATAACTCAGCAGTTGGACATTGTATTGTTTGTGAATGCTACATGTTTGTAAAAATGCACAGGCAGAAACAGATAAAGCTTCACTGGAGAAATGGTTCCTCTTCCTTCTGTATTAGTGCCTTCAATTCACAGGTGTAATTCTAGCTAGTGAAAAAAGGAAGCAGAGAAAGAGGGTGATAGGTCTTAAATCTACCCAGAGGTTTTTCTCAGATATTGCTCCTCGCTAGCCTCATGTAATGCAAATTATTACAGGGTTAGCCTATCTCTGACCATATATTATGGAGGTACTCTTGATTGTCTACGTAAGAGCAAACATAGCAGCTGAAATCTCTGAAGGATGCAATTTTCACAGAAAGCCCTTAAACACAATATTAAACTATGTGTTTGGCTTCTACTGCTAGCTTGCTATTTTGCTACTGTCTTGATATGGCAACTTTATGTAGCAATTACCTGCATGATGAGTCTAGAAACATCTCTTTCATTATCAGGCTGTTTCTCATTTACAGTCAGAAGTTGACTTGGAATTAGATTTGGTTTGTTTAATTTTTTTCTGTTTGTGTAGAATATCAAATCAAGTTGGTTTGACTCTGCAAAATGAGCATGTGGACAATGTGGAATTGTCATGAGACCTTAAAAACAGGATGCTGTCAAACAGCATGATTGAATAAACCTAAAGCAATAAGACAGAAGGGAGCTGCTTAATAGCAAGAACTGACTTGTCTACTACTCTTGTTCTGATTTAGGACATTTTTAAACTATTTGTCTTAAATACTTAAGACTTGTCTGTATTTGGTGCTGCAGGCATTGGCTGTGTGGTGTGTGCTTATGTGGAAATTCTTTATGGTGCACCCAAGTGTGTCAGTACCAGGTGTTTCTCCCAGATGAGTTAAAACTTGCAACTTGATATGGCACAAATACAGTGCATTACAAGGTAATTTATATCTGACCAGTCATTATGGGGACAGTCTTTGTAGCCCACCTGATATTTAGAAAATATTTCTGTTTAACAGTAGACACCAGGTCAAATGACTCTTTCTCTTGATCAAGACAAAGCTTCCTTCAAGCCTGATAGTGAGCAGTATTTACCAAATAATACCATTCCATGGCTGAGTGTGCAGAAGAATTGCCTCTGTTCACCCCAAATTTAAGTGGGTACACTTCGATAATTAGCAACTGAAAGTGCTTTTTCGTATTCCAAGTCAGTAACCACAAACTCAATGCTTTTTGAATTAGCATTTGGTATTTAAATCATAACTTGGCAGTTCATATTGTCTGTGTTGTCTTTGTCTCACAATGCCTCTCATTGTAGTGAGGAATAATGAAGTATAGCAGACTAATATTTTAATTTTTTTGTTAGTATTGACTAACTCCTTCATTCTAGATTAAGGCTGTTATGCTCCTGAACAGGTGAATTGCAAGCCAGGTTTCAGTGCTTTGACTTGTCTATAACTGGAGAATTAATATAATATGGTGCATGCTAACAGGTTTTTTCTCGTAATACAACTACCACCTACATGTCTGCTGTGCAAGTATTCAGGGAACGTTTAATTGTGGGCAACGGATAGAATAATGTGACAATTGTATTTCTCTTTTGTCAAATATTTAAATACATATTAGTTCACTTCATACAGGAAGACAACTTGGGATAATTGAGAAAATGTTGGAGAAAATAACTTTGGCTGCTTGTTATAATTGATTTTCTGTATGATCATTAATAGGGAAGAGTTTTGTCCTTGTATACCTGAAGCGTGCCAAAATAATTAACATCACCGAGTACTGAATGTTGCTTAATTCTGAATGTCAAGCATTAAATGCTTTTCAAGGGATTATGAGCTTTCTTTTCAAAGTAAACAAATAAGCTGTTTGTTTACTTTGCATATTACATGCTTTTGTAAGCCCTCTGCACTGATTCTGTGAAGTGAGAGGGTCATTTAGATAGCTGGTGATGAGTGCGTGTATATACACATACACACACACAAACTACTGCTATACAAATTCCAGTTAATCTTAAGGATTTGTAAGTCTTGAAGATTGTACTACCTTCTGGATGAGGCCTCTGAGGCCCCTGGGTATAATTTGGAAATAGCTTCATCAATTTTTTCCCTTTTTGTTTCAGAACCGAGCTGTGCTTCATATTGCTCTGAGAAATCGTTCCAATGTGCCAATACTTGTAGATGGGAAGGATGTTGTTCCAGAAGTAAACAAAGTGTTGGACAAAATGAAACACTTCTGCCAGGTATAAAGTACCACCATAGCTTTTTTTCATATATTTGTTCTATACCCTGCCAGGTTCTTACATGTGTATTGTGAACCACTGATTATAGGCTGGTTCACATGAATTATTGTGCCCTTGTTTGAGGTTCATAATAGTTCTGTCTCAAGCATGGAGTTGGAGCTGGTTTTTGCTAAAAAGCTAAAAGATTCACTTCTCTCTCTGTTCCCAGTTGGGCTTTTCTTTAGTGGGCTCTCTAGAGCTTGCTCTTTTAGCAGTAATCTTGCATTTATTTCAGAAGTCTTGTAAATCATTAAGTACCACTCAAATATTGCCTTATTTCTTCATGCTGGTTTTTCACCTACCTAACTCTATCAAGTAGAAGCTGCCTCTTAAAATTCCTGTAAAATCAGAAGAGGTAGAAGCTCCCAGCTCACTTGCAATTTGGTTATGCTCTACTTGTATAGTTTCTTAAAGATTTTCTGGTTTTAGGTCAGATTCCTTTATGATTCTGTTCTGTTTGCAGCTTTAGCAGCATGAAAGTTTTTTTGTTCTGTAGTTAAATACAGTAGTTGACCATTATCTGCAAATGTAACTAACTGTTCTTTGGTTCTGTACATCTTTAAAATGTAGGCGTGTGCCAGATCAGTTGAGGAAATGCTCTGAAGAACTTCACAGAGCACTCTAACAAAGTCAGATTTATGTGTGATAAAACTAATCAGTAAAAGTTCAGTGAGTACTTTTACTGCATTTTAAATATGGATGTGGGGAACCGAACCTGCTCTGGTGCCATTGTGAGTCTTATCCAGGTGGTGGTGGCCAGTATCACTGCCAACTCATGCTTGTTAACCTGTATAAAATGAGCCTGGATTATGTCCAATTCCTAATGGATAGATGCCAAAAACACAATAACTAACACTAATTGGTCTGAATTTGGTAGTTTCTTCAGATAATGTAAGAATTGAATCACCACAGAAATGCCGTGGTCTGTTTTCCACTGTAGAGTTTTTAGCTGATTGATATTTCAGTAGTGCAAAACAAGAGTTTTCACTGGTGCCATCCTCTTATTGCTAGAAGGCTTCAATCATCAGAGCCTGTGAATATCAATTTCCATGCAGACGTATCATCTCTGCAAAATAAGTCGTGTTAAGCAATTCCTTTGGAAAGATTAACAAAGATGCTTGTTTCAATTGACTCACTTAAGCAGATGGGATTTTAAAACTATGGTGATATCATCTACAGGCTACAGGAATGTTGTATACTAAAAATGGATTTTCTGTTTGGAAAACCAGAAAACTTTAAGTTAAACATCTGTAGGGAAGGAGAGCAACTTATCAGTATAACCAGGTGATTGTTGTAGAAGAATTGCTTTAGAATTGGGGAATGTATGTAAAAGTGTGCATGATGCTATAAAGATTTCTTTTGTGATTGGAACAAATCTAATGCATAGGTGGTCCATGACGGGCAAAATTCAATACACTGTTTTGATATTACTTAATGATTGTAACTTTGTCAGAACTGTTAAACTGTAACTGTTAAAACAGCAAGAATAGAGCAGAAACCTGTACTATGTGCTGTTAAGGTGAAGCCCAGAAATAAATCTTAATGCAAAACATACATGCAACAGGAAAGCTTTCTTGAATGTTTGATTTGCCAATAAATCTCTGTCTCCATGGCTTTATTAATATTTTAATGTCTTCCAGTTTCGTTAGCAAAGTTGCTTCTAATTAAAAACACTTAAAGAACCCCTTCAGGTTCAATTATTTGTCACAAATAGTTTAATGCCTGAGATTTTTTTTCATTTTTTTAGCTGGAAATCTCTTGCCTTTGCCAACACTGTTGAAAATGCTATAGCAGTCCACAGAAGGAGAGTTTGATCTTGCAGTGTCTTTTTAAATGTGTGCGTTAAACACTTAATGAAGTGTCATCTTAGACATAACCAAATGTCTAGCTAAGAAGGTAGCTTAGAGTGTAGGCTTTAAAGTCTAGAAGCTTGAAAGTTGTCTTATGAGACTTTTTACAACAATGCCTAAAAACAGTGTATTTCCAGTGTTTGAAACACTAACTTCAGTGTAAGTATAAAATAGTCACTGCAATGTTGTTTTTTTTTGCCACAGAGAGTCCGTAGTGGTGAATGGAAAGGCTACACTGGAAAGGCAATCACTGATGTGGTCAATATTGGGATTGGTGGCTCTGACTTGGTGAGCTCCTGACTTCTATACATCTTCCAAAATTTTGTGTGTGTACATGCTTGCAGTGAAGATAAAATCTAATTGTTGCTTCTATCCAGGGCCCTCTGATGGTAACTGAAGCCCTGAAACCATATTCCAAGGGAGGCCCTCGTGTTTGGTTTGTGTCCAACATTGATGGTACTCACATAGCCAAAACCCTGGCTGAGCTTAAACCAGACACTACGCTTTTCATCATTGCATCAAAGGTATGTCTAATACAAACACTGGGGTGTGGCTTTCTCGAACTCTAAAGGATTCAGTCAGAATAGAGATCTGTCCACAGAAAGATCTAAATCAGGGACTTCTGGTGTGGACCATTTCTAAATGTGCCTGTTGTGATTCATCCTAAACTGATTGTGTACAAGATTGTGTTGCTACTGAAATGCTTAGGGATCAAAAAGTGAAGTGCCAAAAGTGACTTGACCTAAACAAGTAAGACACATGAGCAATTTCATGTTGTCTAGGGTGTATTTCTCAGTCAACACAAGTTTAAGCTTTATTCACAAAACTTTATTTTACTGTACTTCTTTGTGGGTGGAATGTAGGATCCTATGTAGTTATTTGTTTGTTTGAAATAAAAGGAATGAGACAACAAGATCCTTAATTTAAGGTTACTTCTGGTCCTTTATCTTAAGTACAGTGCTACTTGTTAACAGTGTTCTGTTTTTGCATTGATGTTTTGCACTAATGAATTACATGTAGTCTGGGAATCTTTGTTCTGGTTTAGGATAGTAACAAAATATCTTCACTTAAACTTAAATGCTGAGTTCCTTGAGCACTATAAATACTAAGCTTCTTTACTTAAAGAGGTAAAAATAGTCTGCTGGTAGTTCATAAGATGACCCTTCTTTCTGAATACAGACTTAATAACTGTCTCTTAAGTCTTGCCTTGCTAATAACTTATTCTCTAAATATAATTGCTAGCTGCCCTCTTCCTTTGAGGAATGCTTCTGTCTTAGCAGAGGAAACTGATGAAGACCAGCTTCATAGTTATGTAACTTGGGTTGCCTTCATTTGTAAAGCACAGTAGAACCTTTTTACTGGTGAAGACAATCTGCAACAAATGAACATATGTGTAATGCTGGCCATGCTCCACGGTGGTGCTCATTATCTTCTCTTGGCAATACTGCAGCTGAGCAACAACTTACTTTGTGAAGTTTCCTTATTATTCTGTAATTCTAATGGTCACTTTGAATAATTGAGTTCAAGGATCACGGTTCAAAGGCTTAGAAGACTGCCAAATTGAAAGAGTAACACTTCAATTTTTGATTGCCAGACTGTAGTTAGATAATTGGATATATTTGGAAGAAGATGAATGGCATTTTTTTTTCTATAACAGGCTTGTGTTTCATAATGAAATATTTCTGGAGATGGATGAGAGTAGGTTGAATCTAGTGTTCACCCTTAAAGCTAAATTTTGATGGTCGAGTAAATCAGAATGGTTGTAGATATTTGCAAAACTGCATGACTGAACTTCTGTGCACACTTCATGAAGCAGGAAAATGTTTTCCTCTAATCAGCAATAAAAATTATGGCAAGAGTCTTGGCAGAAATAAGTATTCCTGCATGAAAAAGTAGGAATTGAAGAGCAATAAGACAATCCAGCTAGGTTATCCAGTTTTGATTCTCAATTAGTTAACTTTTTAGTTGAATGGTAAAACTTCATATTTGTTGAAAGACTAAATTAGAAGATTTCAGTCTCAAGGTTTTGCATAACAGTTTTGGGGGAGGGAAGGTAAGAAATGAGGAATAATTATTCCTATTCCAGATCTATGCTAGTTTAAAACTAGATAGGTAAATCTAGCAACACTGGTCTTTTCTGGATTGATAAGTCTGCTTTTTTGCTGAAATCTGGCAGCAACTGTCTATTAGGAACATCTAGAATCACACTGCTCTTATCTGGAACATACAATATTTTAGCAGCCTGAACTTTTTAAGTGCAGTGTTTTACATACTTCCTTGTTTTCCAATGTGCAGACTTTCACCACCCAAGAAACTATCACCAATGCAGAAACGGCCAAAGAGTGGTTCTTGCATGCTGCTAATGATGTAAGTCTAATATGTTTAGGTTACATAACAGAGTGCAACACCTCTTCGCTGTGCAGTTTCTCCCCAGTCATTCTGTGTGCTTTGGGGCAGAGCCAATAGCTGCCCAAACATAACTTGTATAGCTCAGCAAATGCTGTACATATGTCATTTCAGTGCTTCGTGGTTAGTGACAGGCTGTTATGTGTGATCAAAGTGATGAAACCCCTAGTTCTTCATTATGAATAGCTGTCATGCATTATTTCTCCAAATACTGCCTGTTTAGTAGAGTGTAGCATTTGTCTTAGAGGTGGCTAATAATTGGTGGAATCACTGATATGGACATCCAAGAATATGGTGTCTGTGGTGTTACCTTCCAATTCTGGGCAAATATTTAAAACGTAGAAATGAAGCTGTGACTGGAGTGATATACTGGCATTTCTATGGCAGATGGCTGTGCTATGAATAGAAACATTGTATTTGGCTCATTCTTTCCTATTTCTAACCTTTAAAAGAAAAAAACAGATACTGCCTGCTCAGGTAATTAAGAGGGTCTTTAACCTATTCCAGTCAGGGTAACTGTACTTAGTTTGAAAGATGGGCTTTGAAATTCCTTGTTACACTACTGTTGCGGACAACTCATCTTTGTTCACTGGAACACTTACTGAAAGGCCAAAGTCTAAATGTGGAGCTTGAGATTTATCAGTAATTCCAGTTGTCTTGATCTTTTGACCCTAGCTGGAAGGGCAGTGCATGTACATCAAACTCCATCTGCTCCAAAGTGGTGGTAGTGATGTTGCAAACAGATAACATTCTCTTAAGGAAATAGTGTGCTGCCCTAAGTAGTGACTGCTTCCAGAGGGCTTCATGAGAATATTATCAGAATGTTATCTTCAGGCGTGCTGCCAAATACCACACTGAATGTAAATAAGATTATTTCAAGTTGATAACACAAAAATAACTGATGGTAGTCAACAGTATGTTGTTTAAATGTAAATGGTAGCAGATCAGCTTTATGACAAGAAATAAAAATAATTAGCATTCTAGATCTAACAGTCTATTTATTTTTATTAAGCCTTCAGCTGTGGCCAAGCATTTTGTTGCCTTGTCTACCAATGGTGTAAGTATAACAAATCTATCTTAATTTTTCTATGTATCTTTAACATGGCCCCATTTTTAAAATCCAGTAAGGAAGCCTATGTTAAGACACTGTTACTTGAATACCAATAGTTAGTATTTTATTATGCTGAAAATAACCAAAACACTTCTGGAGTCATGAACTGTATCAAGATTGGACCTTCATTATAGATTTGTGTGTTTTTTCCTGTAGAGCTTTAAATCTGAAATCAACATGTCTCATACTTGAAATGACTGTCCTGTTATTAATGAGTGTTACCTGTAATTGCTTAGGTGTGTGTGAATGCAGTTAAGTAAACAAATCTTAGTCTTCTAGACTCCTCAAGTAGACTACCTGCATCACTTCAGCACTCGTGTGAATAATCTGTAGCATATGATGAGCATAATGTACCCTAATGTGGTGTTTCATGCAAAAGTATGACATAGACCAATAGTAATTAGAAAAAGTCTGTGATAATTGAGAGGCTGTCAGCTGCTGTGGTCTGAAGTTCTTTTTTCTGGTTCAGTTAAATATGGACTGACATTCAGTTTAACTCCTAAACTATTTTGCCACTTTGATTTTATATGAGACTACTGAATAGTGATAGTGATCCCTGGAAAAGAAGGTATACTTATTTCTGATGGATATGTATTTTAAAATAGGGGATGTAATCTGGGAATTGTGTATTTAATAGGTACCTAACGTGTGTCATCTTTGCTAGACATAAAGCTTTTTAAGAATGTTGGTTTTACTTAGGATATCTTACATTTTCTTTTTTTTTATTCTAGCCTAAAGTTAAAGACTTTGGAATTGACCCAGAGAACATGTTTGAGTTTTGGGATGTAAGTAAATTTCTAATGTTGTGTGGTAGAAGTTAACTGTTAAAATAGTCTAACTTGCTTCAGAAAATGCTAACTAGATGTCAGGAAACTGCCAAAACACCTAAATTATAGTAGTTGTGTTTTCTGTACTGAAATACATGAATACTTGTAACTAAAGGTGAGTTGAGAATATGTCAGGCAAGCAAAAGAGTCTTGTCTCTTGGTTATTCCGTTAAAATCCTGCAGTTGAAGGTCTGAAGAGGAGCCTTCTGTATTCTTGGCTGCCTGATCAACTGTTGGGTAACAGGAGATGCAAGTCTTAGCTTATTCCTCTGTGTAAGTAGTTATTATAAGCTGTGACATTTGACTGTTAGGGTCTACTGTATATAACCTAGACCTGTAAAGGTCAAACATCAGAAATGGGAGCCTAATTTGGTATTTTGTAGCAGATACATATTTTAAGTATACTGCCATTACTCTTGGTCCTTATACTTAATTAGAAACAGGTTGGTTTGTCTCACTGACTATATGCCTGACAAACTAGATTTTAAAGCTGCTGTTTAGAAATTATCTAGAGCATTACCTTTCCCTAGGTAGTGTCATAATCTTGCTGGAGCAGGCTTTACCTATAGAGGAGTGATATTAGGAAACTAATTAATACAACCTACGAACTTAGTATTTGGAAGTGAACTGGAATCATCGAGGGATCTGTTTCAACAGATGTTACATAAATTGGATAAGTAGGACAATTTTAAAGTCTCAAAAAATGCATGCTTAAGGATTCATTCAGGGGGCTACTGTAAAGTGGCATGCCATATAATGTGTAGTGAATTATTACCAGAAAGAATATTGACCTTGCTGAAAACAGTCTAAACATATGCTGCTATTTCCCAATAGTTTAAGTAACTTTGAATTTAAAAGCCTTGCACTTTTCTTGTCTAAACCAATCTCTTGTTTTCAGTGGGTTGGTGGCCGCTACTCTCTGTGGTCTGCCATTGGTCTGTCCATTGCCCTGCATATTGGTAGGTATTCCTGTGATGTAACAATGCCAAGAACTAGTCTGTTTGCTTCAGGAATGTAACCATGGAATGCGTTAACAATAGTGAATTATGGATGAGACTTGGGGCAAATATTATTTTATCCAGCCTATTCTGAGTGGTTCGATGTTTGGTGCTAAAAAACAATCTGTAATGCAATGGAAATACTGATATTTTATTACTGTAAATGCAGCTTTGTAAATTAACCATCCTTAGGTACAAATAGTCAAATTGCATCTCTTCAGTCACTTGCATAGCCAGAAGTGCCTGATTTATGTAAAGCGATGTCAGTATTGAAAATCAGACCTTGCAACTGACACTGCTAAGCTATTTAGCAGTAGGGTGTTCAGTTTCTGTGAATAAATACACTAAACATCAAAATTCTATGTCTCCAGTTCTGTATATGAGCTTTCTTTAGCATTGTTAACTATCTTCTTCTCCCATTACTTCCTTTTGTCCACAGTGCTTGTTCTTCTAGGCTATAGGGCCTGATGATAGAGGAATGCTACTTCTATCTGCAGTTCATTGTGGAGCAAACATAGACCCTTGAAACTGATCCCCACCTACTTGAGTAGCATTAGCATTTCCGATGCAGGTCTCAAATGCAGGTGGAGAATACACAGTTAATGTAAAAGAGCTCTAAGAACTGCTGTTTCCTGGTGAGCAGGCTGTTTAGCAGCCTTACATTTGTTCCCTCACCACTTCTTTCAGGTATTTAAAGTCTGAAGCAATAGTGTAATTTAGTTTTTCTAAATAAAAGCCTGAATTCCATTAGACTGAGGTTAGAAGAAAAACATTGGTTTTGATGTTGTTTGGAATGATATGAATAGGAGTTGTCATGTGTAGAAAGACTTACATGAATAGCAGAGTAAACTTCAGTCAGGCACTTGCTGTTTTGTCTGCAATAACCTGTTCATCTCTGCTGTCAGACAGATTTGATGCTGAATGCTGACAAGCCAGTCTATCTGCACTTGTTGCTCTTACATACTTCATCTCCCAAAGCTGGCTTCTGACCATAGATAGAGCTGCTGCTTTGCCAAACACTTGGCCTCTGTTTTTCCGTGTAAGAATCAGGATTTCTGCCTTTGCAGGAAAGGATGGTGTTAAACTACTCATTAGTGAAAATTAATGGCAATTTAAATACCCTAATTATAAAGCAAAATAAAATCAGGTGAACTGTTAAGAGAACAGGGAAGGAAGGGGGAACCTTCTTTGAGAAGACCTTATTACCGTTGTTTCTTCTCAGACCAACACAGAAATCCCTGCTTTACTAACCTTGCCCTGTTTTTTGGGAGATGTCTCCCACTGTGGCTGTGAAGTGACTAAGTGTTCCAACTTGCTGAAAGCTATTTGGCCTTTAACACAGAGCCTGGTTTTAATGCCTCATTTTCCTTTTAGTTGTCCATTCTGCCTGAATTGGGGATTTTAGGCAAATGTTTTTGAAGTATGTTTCATGAAGTTAGACTTGCTCTGAAATCCAGGCTTTAATCATAACTAAATGTATCTGACTTTTGGGATGGAAGTTTCAGAAGTCAGTGTAACTTTAAACTCAATTAGTAGTTGAGGGCCTTGCTGCATACAAGGAATCAACTGTTTTACGGTTTTCTCTACAGGAAAAATCAAGTTTGAGTAGTAATAGTAAATACAAATTTACTTTTTCCATTGTTAGGTTTTGACAACTTTGAGAGCCTGCTCACAGGAGCCCACTGGATGGTGAGTGTGGGATGCCTCTTTGTTCCTCTGAGGAGTTCTTAGTAAGATAACTGGAGGCAGTGTGGTTCCTAAAGTTCAGCTCCTTGTGTCCTCTTAATGCTTCTAAAACAATTGTTCTTGGGAAGCTCTCCTTGCATCAAAACAACAATAAAAACAATTTAAGAGTTGGCAGGGATGATAATTGCTTTGTCAAAAGTGTAATTTTCCTTTGTGTCACATAGGATAATCACTTCCACACTGCCCCACTGGAGAAGAACATGCCTGTTCTGTTGGCCATGCTGGGGGTCTGGTATATAAACTGCTATGGATGTGAAACCCACGCCCTTCTGCCCTATGACCAATACATGCACCGCTTTGCTGCCTACTTCCAGCAGGTAAGGCTCAGACAGTCAAGGTTTCAAGAAGCAAACATGTAGATATGCTTCTGTCCTGGTTCTAGAACCTGAATGCATGTTTCTAGGTTGAAATTGCAATTGCTTAAATTCATGTAATCAAGGGCCCTAAAGAGACAGGTGCCAAGATTGATATCAACCTCAGACCTGTGTTATCTTGGTGTCCATAAATTAAGCAGCTATGTCCCTGATACTTACGAAATTCCTATACTTGTACTGATACTGTGTGGTTTTGCAAGAAAGGTGATACTCTCCTTACCTTCTTTTAGGGTGATATGGAATCTAATGGCAAATACATTACCAAGAAAGGCTCTCGTGTGGACTACAATACCGGACCTATTGTGTGGGGAGAACCTGGCACCAATGGACAGCACGCTTTTTACCAGCTCATTCATCAAGGTAAACTGGAACTATTCAATAACTTATTTTGGAATTAAATTATGAAAGGCTACAAAGCTGCAAGAGTCTACAGAATTGACACTGGTTTAAAAGTTGGACTCTTATTTAACCTAGCATCATGTTGTTATAGTGCTCTTAATTAGTGGCTTTTGAAGGCTACAAGATGCAAGTTTTAACTCTACAAAAAGGAGGATCAACTAAAGCTGAAACTACTGAGCTCTATTGTCACTTCCCCCTGCTGTTAATGAAAACATTTTTAAAAGCTTTTTAAAGTGGCTGAGTCTTCCAGTGACTCTGAAAATGGTGTAAGAATTGAAGATTTTTTGAAGACTTTCCAGTTGCAGGGTTATTAGCATGTGTTTTTCTTATAGGAACTCGCATGATTCCCTGTGACTTTCTGATCCCAGTCCAAACCCAGCATCCAGTCAGAAATGGCTTGCATCACAAGGTAATAAGTTGTCAGTGCACCCATATTTTCTTGTGGCTGAAGGCATTGAAGCTTATTCAGTATTGCAGCGTGTGAGATTTCTGAATGTTCCTTTGAAACTGTACACGTGGGCTCTGTGAACATTCACAATAGGTTAAAAGATATCTAAATTACATTTATTAGATAATAGGTAATTATAATACAGGTATTTTTGTTCTTGAAGAAATTGCAGCCGCAGTTCTGGAGTCAGATGAATGGTATGGCCTGTTGGCCTACTAAGGCTGGAAAGGATTGAGCAAATAAGTACTTGGAGAGAAAATTCCTTGTAGGAATTGTAAGGAGTGTAGCTCTTGCAGAAGTGGGAAGAAGCAAATTCTCAGAGCTGATGAAAACTTCCTCAGATGCAATTGCAAGTCTTAAACTCTAGGACAAAACTTAGTGAGTATACTAACATAGCTAGGGTGGTAGCCTTCTACATATAGATATTTTTTTATCTGGTCCATCTTTTTAGTTTAATGTATCATCCAGTTAAGGATTTTCAGTGAGCTGTCTAACAATTTAAGTTCCATGGATGGAAGCATGTCCAGGTCTACCACTTACTTCATGCTTCAGAAAAAGCATGTTTCCTTACTAAATTTCAATCTTGTCATGATTTCAGATTACAGGTGCTAATTAAATTGTGTAATAGTAATTTTTTTGTCAAGTAACACCAAGTACAAGATTTGTAACTCTAGACTAGGTCTCGGTCTAGTTTCGAGCACTAGATATCGCTATTCCAGCCTAAGGAAACAGTAGCTTGAGTTAATGTTTTTATTTCTGCCTGCTAGATCCTTTTGGCCAACTTCCTTGCTCAGACTGAGGCCTTGATGAAAGGAAAGACTGCTGATGAAGCTCGTAAGGAACTGCAGGGAGCAGGACTGAGTGGAGATGCTCTGGAGAAGCTCCTTCCCCATAAGGTAACCAGGTCCTGGCCCTGGACAGCTTCCCTCTGGTTAAATACTGTGGTGGTGAGGGCACTGCGTTGGTCTGCTGCTCGGTGGTTCGCGGAGGAGGCAGTGCCCTCCGGTGGCTGTCGGGTGCTACTGTCTTGAGAGCTGGGGAGGTTGTGCTACGGGTTCTGCCTTGTCAGGTCTTGTGGAGCAGTCTGTGAATGGCACTCTTGCTACAGCATGCTGATCTGGAAGCCTTTTGAGGCATTTCGGGAAAGATGAGCATCTCATCAGTGCCTCTGGGGTATTGACTTGTATTTTACTTCCTGTAGCCCGTAGTGGTGCTTGGAGGTAACATTTTGCCATTGTGCTTGTAATAAAACATGCAAATGATACATTTTTAGCCTTTAAAGCTTTCAGGATTTTGTATTTGCTGCTAATACAAATCGTCCAGTGTAGGCTGTAAGGAAAATACAAACTGCAGGTTTCTGATATAAGTTTTACAACATAGTAGATAACAATGTAACTCTTATTCTGAAAGGTCTTTGAGGGAAATCGACCAACCAATTCCATCGTGTTTACAAAACTGAACCCCTTCACTCTTGGAGCCCTCATTGGTAAGTAAATAGATCTCTCATCTGTGAATGTTTATTAAGACTTTCTGATGAAGTTTATTGATAAATCTCTTTCTGCTTATAGCCATGTATGAGCACAAGATATTTGTTCAAGGAGTTGTCTGGGATATTAACAGTTATGACCAGTGGGGGTAAGTCTCCTTGATCTATTTCTTGTATACTTATTGTCTGTGGTATTCCTTAATCTGTCATGACTCGGAGAAAAGACAATGAAAAAAAGAAATGTTACACTTAAAGCAAATAATTATATGATAGCTCTAAATGAAACCAGATTTTTCTGGGGATAAGTCACCATGTATCCTTGTTCAGCCACACGTAATAACTTTGTAGATACAGCTTTGGCTAAGACTTTTGTTTAGTTTGATTAAAAAAATACTATGGATGCAGAAGAGGCAGTAATAATGAATAAAATAGTCAAGCAGGCTGAACACATGCTCTGAGAATTAGGGAAAATAATTTCCCTTATAGAAAGGAAAAATAATTATTTTACTTCTAGAAACATTTAGCAGGCAGTTTGAATGGCATCTGTTAAGCAAAAGACTGACCACCTGTTAATTTTCCTATACTGGAGATAAAAGAAAATTCTTGGCACATGTCTTCATATATAGGAGCCCTAGGTCTAATGCAGACTGCATCTCTGGCCCAAGTTTGTAGTAAAGCTCCATGTGGAGAACAGCAGCTTTGAGGAGTTTGTCACTTTAAAAATGAAGACTTAATCAGGAGCTAATCAGATAATTTTTAATCTGTAGTAATAACTGTACAACAAACTGTATGAAGACTTATGCAGGAGAAAGATTGGGAAATAAGATTTTTTTCAGGTGAAACCTGCCTATGCTGTGAGAGGATTACTTTGAAAAGCAAGGTTGCTCTACGGGTGTAGAATAGGAGTTTATACTAAGCTCTCTTCTTAACATATACAAAGACCTAGTCTTCAGCCTTTTTCTTAGAGCTATGCTACCACAGCAAGTTCTTTAAAATATTGTAGTAGAAACTGGAAATGGAAGACTGACTAATAAAAGCTGATGTCAGCTATAAACTCTGAAATCAGGAGTGGGATAGCAGTAAGTACAGCTTTTACTGCAACACATCAAAACCTAGAATGGCATCCAAAACTATGGAATATGGGGATGCTGTAGAACCAGCCTCGTTTCTTGCAACTGTTGGAATATCCTAGACTCTTCGCCTGCGTGGCTGTGTAGCGTGCTGTAGTGTTGGGGAAGGCTTCCAGGCCTGCAACTCAGCTGTTGTTTATTGTTTTGGTGCTAGAATACAGTGTTCTGAGTGATGTCGTGTTCCAACAGTGAACAGTAGCAAGCTGAATGCATTCTGCATTGGGGCAGGCTGCATAGCACAAATGAATACTAAAGGAGGAAAGACTGCTTAACTTTTAAAACAAAGCTTTCTCTCTTTAGACATCCTGTAATTTGAGCTGTCTGTTCGGCTAAGCAGCTGTGAGAACTCCAGTTGTTCGTGAATGACACTAAGTTGAATAATATTAACTTTGCCAGTAATTTGAAGGGAAGAACATTCATTGTAGTGTCCACTGTCAAGTTGCTTTTTACTGGCATCTGTTTTTAATGTCAATGGCTTATAGTAAATACTGTAAGGTGTTAGCACTAATGTTGTTTTTCTTTCTTCTCCTGATTTTATAAATGCAGAGTTGAGCTTGGAAAACAACTTGCCAAGAAAATTGAGCCTGAGCTGGAGTCAGATGCTCCGGTGACATCTCATGATAGCTCAACAAATGGGCTCATCAATTTCATCAAAAAACACAGAGCCTGAAATGAAAGATTTTGAGGACATCGACAATCTAACCACCAAATACCCAAATCTGTTGTAGTTGTGCTTTTTGCGCCACTTCTAACAAAAATAGCACTTTACGGATGTAGCTTCTTCACTTGTTGCAGTTAATCTTGTTGTCAAGTGTTACAAATGAAAACTAGTTTTGTGAAACCCAGAGATTGTATAGTTGCTTTCTATTTTTGTGGCTGTTAATCTGTAAAGTGCAGCTGGTATGTTCCTCAGTTCTTATCCCTCAACTTCCGTAAAGATGGTCACATACTGATACTAGAAAATAAAAGGTACGATGGATGAGTAAAACTTCTTCACTCTGTATCTTTAAAGTGCAGACCTAGTAACACTTGCCTCACTATGTAAGGTCCTCTGAAGCCAAGTAAACTAACTTCTGTCTTTTTGGACTGGTACTGCTGTAAGCTCGAAACTAGAGTGTGTGCAAAGAATCAAACAGTGTTCAGATTGCATAATTTGATGCATTTGAACAAGATACAGATCTTTTTCCAGTGCGACTGTGAGAAGGAAAGCTTATGTTTCGTTAAAGATCTCATGATTTCTCCATAAGCTATGGAAGCCCTGTGTGGACAGCTGTACAAAAAGAAAGTTAGTTCTTGGAATGACAATTAATTTTCCAAACAGTTTTCAAGAGTTTGAAGCAAAAGCTTGGGATCACTTGAAGAAATGTATTTTTCGTGTCCTCCAAAGGCAATTTCTGTCACTCCTCTTAAATCAGGATCAGTGTTCCAACAAAAAAATAAGATAATGTAACTATTTGTAAACAAGTTGCTTATATCCTTGTTCATTCATATCCTCTTTCATTCTCTACCACTGTTAACCCCTCTTTGCTAGCAGACTGGCATGCTGTCGCTATTGTTCTGTAACACCTTTAATAAAGGTAAGACACAAGCATTGAAAGGAAAAATAAGATCTTAACTGTGATTCTCATACCCCGAACTCTTAACAACAAATGCTACTTTTGCTACAAAGTCTGAGTGTGTAACTTGATGCATGCCTTTGCTGTACAGATTCATTGGCAGGATCAAAAGTTTGATCTTGCTGATGGTGCACACTAACAACTCCATAGTGCTTGAGAATCTGGCTGCATGCATTTGAGTTGTTAGACTAAGTATATATGGTGCTTAGATGATTTGGTTTTGATCAACTTTATAAAGCAGTTTTTCCACATAAAACATGGTCACAAAAAGAACCCACTAGAGGGAGGCATCATGTTTTCATAGGAGGTTTTAAACCTTTCATGCACTTGTGTAAAAGCACATGCTAAAGCCCAGCTTCATCCTCTTTCTATAGAGGTAAGTGTGAAGCGAGATCGTTGTGTAGGTGCCTATGATGATTTGAACAGTAAAGCCTGTTCCTTGGGCTTAGCGCTATTGTTTTACCTTTTGTCTGTCTCTCTCCAGCAACTTTTCTTGGAGAAGAAAGGAGGCCATATGTATTCTGTAACTCTTTGGTTATTCTCTAACCTTGATTATTGTTTCCAAACCTATTTCTTTTCTTGCAGAGGGTTTACTGATGTGAAATATAACATGCCTGACTATAACACAGGGTGGTAGGAAGAACACCTGATGTAAGTTACAACACAAACCAGGAGAGCAACACCAAGATCAAGGTGCTGTGTCTGTAATGAAGCAGTACTCCAGCAGAAGCTGTGTCGGACCCAGTCCTCAAGCCTTTTTAAAAAAAAAATAAAATCAGTTCACCATTCTCCCGAGAAGGAGAAAGGCAAACCAGGCTATGGATGGCCTTTTGCTCTTACACTCATGAGTTTGAGTGTGTGATTTTTTTACAATTTCCAGACGTTTCCCCCCAGCACTTAGGGAAAGGGCAGCCCCGCACTGCGGGCAGTTCGCCCG